GTTTGTGGGTATGTCCTTTGCTACAGTACCTGCTGTCTAAAACCTCATGCAAACACCGGGAGGTCGTCAGGACTACACTCCGCTTTTGAAGCGGATCGCCTTTCCAGTTTAAGCCCAGTTCGCACATGTCAAAAACAGTCGTGAAAGTCCCGTACCGTGTCTGTTCCAGTTCCGGCTGCACAAGAAGTTCTGAACCCACTGGTTGTTCAAGGTGGAAATGATTACCGTGTTGAACCTGATACCAGTACATCTCTTCACAAAGACACAAATTGGGTCTTTCTTGTTTCCTCCCCTCCAGGATTCTTTCCCTCATCTTCAGACTCCGACCCATGTTCCTCCTAGCAAAATTACCCCACAGTTTACAGTCAGGTGAGGCCCAGATGTGTCTGGGTCGGTGTGTTTCGATGATCCTCCAGAGACTTGCTTGTCCCTCTGTCGTGCGGAGATCACCATCCTGGAGTGTAAATCTTTTGGCCCGAAGGCCCAACTGGTTTGCAACTCTGGTCAATTGGGAATCCGGGAAACAATAGACCTCCAGGATGTCCAGTCTCTCTTTCGAATTGGTGGTTCGTGGTGCAAATTGTCGTGTCTGGATGTCAGCTGAGTGTGCTGCTAGTACTGCAAGTTGGTGCTCAATCTTTTCCACCAGATTAGCTAACTCCTGGTCAAAGAACTTGTTAATAGGAGTGTCCATACTGGCCAAACCATCTTCCAGGGTACCAGTAGCATCATAACTCAACTTCTCTATTGGTGGTTCTATGCATCCTCGGCTGGCATCAGGTGCGACAGTTCTCTCTGCAGAATTGCGATCTGCGCCTGAATTTGGTGCACTCGCTCCTGCGTCTCCTTCGCGAAGTCGACATTCATCTTCTGGGTGGTCTCGGTGGTCGGCGGTCCACGTTTGGCATTGGTCGACCCACTTGCCAAAGACGTGATCCCGAACTGGACTTCCGAGCTGCCCTTGCCCTTCAACTCGTCGATGATGTCCCAGTCGGTGGCGGTCTCCCCATTCTGGTTCCAGTCTTTGCGCACCTGCTGGATCATCGAGGGCGTCAACACCCGCTGTTGTTGGTCCACCGAGATGGACCGGTCCATCTGATCCATGGCCCTCACATAGTTGTGAAAGCTCAGGGCCCAGGCTGACGTGCAATCGCCCTTCTTCTTCATGTACTCGGCGTAGCTCGCGTTGATGGCCAGGGTCTGTGCAAAGGTCTTGCCAACATGTTTTCCTCCTGCCAGCTTCTGCTCTCCCCACTCCCTGAGGGTAGTCACCCCCGGTGGCTTGACAATCGCCACCTTGCTGTCCATCGGCAGCATTGACAAGGTGGCATCCTCCTGGAGGGGCAATGGAGCATCCATGCCCACGATCGGAGCATAGGCTGGATTCATCTTCTTGGGCGCCATCTTGAGTAGTGCTGGACGGTGCTTGCTCGCGGATGCTTGATGCTTGGTGTGCGGCTGTCACGGAGGTGTGGTGTTGTGGAGTTCGTCCGTCAGTTGTTAGTCCGTTCTTTGTTTCATCAACTGAATGAGTGACGACCTCCCAAGATTCCCCGTGCACTCTCACATTCTCAGCATGTTTCAAAATCTCGACAAGATCAACAAGAAACAAACCTTTCTCACTCATGGCTAGGGGTACACTCACACGTCCATGAAACATGCACAAAACTTGCTTGGAAGTGCAAATGTCCGCTGCAACCGCTTTCAAGAAGGCGTTCGATAAAAGGAAAGGAGTGGCTCCGTCGACAACCTCTAACTTCAGCCAACGTTCACCGAACGGAATGAAAACTGCTCCCAAACTAGCTAACGTTCCGTTGTTGCCAAAACGAAAAATCGTGTTTGACTTCTGCCATGCAATCTTCTTTGCAAAAATGTCCGGAAGAGTGGCCATCAGCTGCTCTAGCCTCTTTTTTCCAATCACTGACTTACTAGCTCCTGTGTCCAAGATAGCTGTGCTACCATGATCTAGAAAAAAACATCGGCTCAAAGCGGGTCTCATGCCTGACACGTTTTCCCATGGACTCTGAAAGACCCTTCTTCAGTGACCGTTTCATGACATCCAAGGATAGAGCAGCAAAAACGAATTCATCATTAACATGGGCATTCCTTTTTGGATCCCAACAAAAATTTGGGGGGCATTGTTCTTTCCCGGCCTGGTCGTTGTGAGATTCATGTTCGGCCATCATCACCAGGTCAGGTTCCATCAGCGTTTCCGTCTCTGTGTCCTGAATCGAAATCCCCTGCTGGTTCATGGGCCACCACTCAGGTAGGGCGTGTTCAAGGGAAATGGGTAGCTTTTCCACCACCTCAGATTCCTGATCTCCATAGGTCTCTCCAACGAGGGTGGACACATGGATCTCCGCAGGAGAGGCATTGGGGTTTCCTGCGTTTCCTTTGTTCGGACACTCTTGCCGCCAGTGTCCTTTGGCACCACATAGACGGCAGTTCGAATTGGCGATCCTGTCAGCGAGTGACTGCCTCTTTCGAAAACCGCCCTTCCAAGAACTCTTCTTGCCACCTTTGTGTTTCCCTTTTCCTTTGACTGGTGGCCAAAAGCCTCTGGCACGGATCTTGTCTCGAACTCTGCCACGGGCCTCCGTGTAAGCTGAAAAGCACATGCTCAAATCCACATTGTCTTGACAAGCTTCAATCAGCTGGTCTTCAAACTCTGACACCAGAAGTGCGTCTTCGTCGCCCTGCTCCATCAACAACATGATGCCCGCTTCATCGTCCTGGATGAAGTCCTCCTCTGCGACAAAAGCCGAAGCCTGCCCATCATCATCATCTTCCACATAATTCACGGCATACACTTTCTTCTTGGCATCAACGCCAGTGTTCCCCACGAGGATCTTTGGGGCCAATTGCCTCATGGCATCTTCAACCTTTTTGGCCTGTAGTGTCCCACCAGTCATGGCCAGGACTCGTTTCTTATCCTCAGCATTGAGGAAGCTCTGACGCAGCATGATGAAAGCTTTGATCTCCTGGATGGTGACATCTGGGATCTCGGCAAAGGCGACATTCATGCGGTTGACATAGGAGAACACGCTTTCATCTTGTTTCTGTTGAACCTTGTATAGTGCCCGTTCAAACTTCTCGTATGTCTGAAGTTCTGCCGAGTCCTCCCAAGCAGCAACCGTACTCAGGAGTAACTTCACACCCCCTTCTGGGTCCGAGAGTTTGGCACCATCTATCGACTTGATCTGAGCCCAAGCAGTGCCCTTCATCAGCAATGCCAATCTCGGTGCCAGCATTGCCTTGTCTTTGGCCGGACAGATGGAGAAAAGAAACTTCACCTTGTCGGAGTACTCACGGGGGTCATCGACTGACGGGTCGAAGCTGGGTAGCAGGCTCCAAATGTGTCCGGACTTCTCATCTTGGCTGCTTTCACCATCAGGCATGGCTCACTGTCACGGTCGTGGGTAAAATGTCTTGCAAACCTAATTGTTCAAATGCAACCGTCCTAGGTCAATTAGGAACCGAGGTAAACACCAACCCCAAAAGGTAAAACCTGTTGCCTCAACAGCTATGCCTCCTGCGGAGGCTCCGCTACCAATGTTAATCTAGCACTGTAGACTGAACGTGGAAACCCTGTCCACCTAAACCGAAAGGTGACCGCACCTCTTTCACGCTGATCGATACGTCCGCCCTCCCGCCCTTTCAGCGGTCCGAACCACGGCGTGTGAGCGAGACAACTCGAGGTTGGTTCCGGGAAACTTGTGAGTTTCACAATTTTTTTATATATATATATATATAAATACAATTTTATACATATATATTTTCCTTCTTATCTTAAAATGTTAAAAGTACTACTCAGACTGTCAGACTCAGTCCCAACTTGGTCTCAGGCGATCAGCTGCGCTGCAGCCGCTGTGGTCAAAGTGGTCATGTGGCCAAAGAATGCCTTCGATCGCCCAGTCATCCCAGTGGCTTGGATCTTCATTTCAGGTGAGGGAGGCCTTCGCTAGTAGGTTGGAGGCCATTGCTATTAGGTTGGAGGCCTTTGGCGACCTAATGGAAATGAGTGCCGCTCCTTGGAATGATGACTGCAGTCGGAGGTTGATTTCTGGTGGTGGTGCCATTGATCGGCCAAGGCAAAGCTCTGGTGGCCACGCTGGCTATAGGCAAGATTTGGACTGGGCCAAGCAGTATGCTCTCATCGCAGCATCTCCCCATAGCTTGACTGCATGGACGTAAGGGCGTCGTCTCTGACGATCGTTGTGCTTTTCGTGGGTGTGTTTCATGCCACTTGACTTGGGACCATTGCATAAATTTGATCTCACAATTTCATACACTTTCAATCACTTTCATTTGTTTTCCAAATTTGGAACTGAGGATCAGCCAAATACTCAAACGTTTTCAATTGTGCTGTAGCTGGGAGGCATTTCCAAAGCCATGCAGCAATATCCCCTTCTGAGCGCCTCTCGTTTGGTGGATGGAGGCCGGCGAGGAAACTCGTATGTGGTGCTTCCCTGCCAAGAAACAAAGACTACAAGCTGTGGGGTGTGATTCAAGGGTGTTCGAGAGTTCAACGAGACATGATTGGCACACACACACACATATATATATATATACACGTTGTGTCCATTTTCTCTATCGCTCTTGGATCCAGGTGGCCTCAAGGCAGCAGTTTCCAAAGGCAAGGAACTGCTCTTGGAAGGCGATGACGCGGCCGACACCTGGCCAAGTACAGCATATGGCATAATTATGGTATGAGTATGGAACATGAAGTGGTAAGGCGACATGCCGGCCAATGTAGGCGAGAGATGGCAAGACTAGGTCAGAATCACACACGGCTTTCGATCTTTCCACACTGATTGCAGTATTGACTGGTTGCCTTTCGACCTTGCATGCCAGTTCATTCGCATAATATAAAAATATATGTGCTCTCTCCTTCCGTATGTGTATTCCTCAGGGCTCAAGCTCTTTGTTGTTGCTTAGTGATTTGCTTAGTTAAATAATTCTAGCTTTGGCTCCGCTTGCTTCCCTTTTCGGGTTTTGGCATGCCGGCACCCGACCTGCGCCCCCAATTGCAGTCTCTTCTTCAGACTGTCGAGGAGGTGGCGTGCCAGAATTGCAGCAGCTTTTGCTTTCAGAACGCTGCCTGTGGCATTTTCATTTTCAGTGTTGACAAGTGGTTGGTGCACACGAAGAGTCCAGTCATGTGCAGTGGAAGGAGCAGCGGCATCTTCTGGACTTGCTGAGCGTCCAGCATGACCAGTTTACCTTGGCGCTCCGCGAGTCTATGGAGCGGATGAAGGAAGTTGAAAGAAAGGCGGGAAGGTGGAGATGTTGTGAGGTCTTTATAGGAGTGTGATTCTTGTTTGTCGCCGTATGCCGGTATTGCAGGCCTTAGTTGCCGAAGCACCACAGCTGGCAGATGATTTCGTTGAAAACAGGCAGAGAGAAGCGATGTTCTTGGCCCTGTGTCCGCCAACAAGTGAATGCTTTAATTGCATGTCAACCTGTCAAACAGGATGGAAAGCCTGAAAACAACATGACAGAGCATTGACACCTTTAAACTTATAAACCACCATCGTCACAGCTCGTTCCCAGCTTGAATCGTGCAGGGTGGTATTCGCGGAGTATGATGAGCAGGAGGAGTACAGAAAGAAGATGTCTCACCATGACCACTCAACAAGTACTCTTGGCAAAATCCCTTCACCTCACCACGAGCCATAAACTCAGAAAGGAGACACCATGACACGACCACTGGAACTCTTGAGCAAAAGGGTTCTTAGTTGAATCCCTACTGTATCACCCATCGCGTTCACCTGTTTCTGCTGAGTTCGTCTCGGACTTTGCGACACCAAAGGACTGCGCAGGCGGGGTAATTTGATGGGCTTGCATTTCAGTGAAGCTTGAGCTCGGGGCCCTTGCCCAAAAGTCATTAGGAGTAAATGTGACTTTCAGGAGATCTTGGGCTTGCAGAATTTTGTGGACAAAAGCCGTGCATATGTGGATATGGTGGCTGGTACACTCGTATGCTTGAACTGCCTTGTGATGCTGGCAATCTGGCAGCATAGACGGGGGTCTAGAGTCTAGGACCTAGGATTGAAAGACTTCCTTTTTTCTTGCGTGTGTGTGTGTGTGTGTCCTAACACTTGAGACGTGTGAGACTGGTACATCCCAGACCCTTGTGCTGGACAATTCATGTGTATCCTTGTGCTGGACAAGTGGAACATCCTGAGACCGAGCTCGAGCTGGAGGGCCAGGCAGCTGGTGTCCGCTTGGGTTTGGGCCCTGGGCCAAACCTGGAAGAGGTGCAGAACATTTTTCAAACCTTGGTGGCTGGGATTCAACACAAGGCATCACACAATCATGATGCAGTTTTTCGTAATCCAATCAGTGGCTGTTGTTTTAACAAGCCAGGTCTGTTTCTCAGAGTCTTGCTTGATCGGATGTGCGAACATGTGTGAGATACTCCACCAGCTTCGGCAGTTGAATGGAAACTAAGGATACCATCTTCGTTGTTGTGTTCACAGTGGAGTTGTTATTTCGAGCCGTCCTGGAGAGAAAAGGTTTTATCTCAGACCTGGCCAACGCCTTCGACACTATCCTAGTAATTCTTGGTTGCTCAGCCAAGCTTAGTATTAAGGTGCTTGGCTTCAAGCCTAACGCTTGATGTTGCTGCGCGCTTTAGACAGGTTGATTTTCAATCAGGCACCCTTGGTTGTGCTTTTCAACGGGTTTTCCTTTCTTTCAACGGGTTTCTGCCAATCAAGGCTGGCTTGCTCTCACCATCAGTGGTTTCGCCGTCAGCGACATCTTGCTTTTGCGGACGGTGAGAGTGGCTGGGACGAAGTTGGGTGGATCGCTGGGTGTTGTGTGATTTGTTCATATCGTTTCACCTAACTTTTGTAGGCGCCTAAGGGAGAGGTAGCTAGTACCTTACTTAAACTACTAGTAACTAGTAAGGACGCAGGATAGCTCACGCTTCCTTGAAGAAGCGGAAGCGTGAGCACCAATGATTTGGTTCCTTGATTTTTAGGGAAACTCACCTTGTCTTTTCTCCGTGCAAGGTCCTCAAGGCCCTCCGGGCTGTGCGCTTGCTTAGGCGGGATGGTTAGTGGTGCCACTGTTGGAATTCTTTCGTGATGAACATGGCATGGTTGCATGTCGGCATGACTACTCCTGGCAGTCCGAATCACATGAATCCAGGAGCTTCAGATTCTTCAAGGGCTTGCGCTTCTTGGTCAAGGCTTGCTACTGCTTCATCCCGTCCCTCCTTTGGGCAATGCTCCTCCTGGTGGTCTTTATTTGTATGGGTGCATTGGTTCAAGGCAGTCTGCTACAAGACTTTATTCTCAAGGAGGATGCTGATAAAGAAGAGAGGCTGTGGGTGTGGAACCGCTATGGGACAGCATACCGCTCCCTCTACACCATGTATGAGATCACATTTGTAACTTGCCTTACTTTTCCATTTCTTTCTGTACAGGTTATACACTTGCAGTGTGGCGCTTTCATGTTGGCCACTCAAATCAACTGAATGGACATTGCTCAGCATTGCTCAGCATTGCTCAGCTCATCTCGGCTCTTTGTGTTTAGTCTTGGCTTGGTGACTTTTTTGGTTGTCTCTGCAACACCCTAGGCAGGAAATTGGCCCACCAATGCTCGCCCAATCTTGGAACCTCGGGCACAGGTGAATCCGTGACATGGGCACCTGAAGCGGATGATAGAAAGTTTGAACACATGGCAGTCCATAGCTTTGGGGTCAACTTGGAACAAGTTCCTTGTTTGTTGGCTGAGTGATTGAGTGGCCTTGGAATGTGAAAAAAAGGCAGGTGTTTTCTGCCGCTCTGACACCAAGGAAACCGTGGGGCATCCATTCGTTTTGTTCTACTTGGTCTACATAACTTTTGTGGTGTTCGCGACCTTGCGTGTGGTAACCGCAGTATTTCTCAGAGACACGCTTCTTTTCTGTGTTGAATGCACTACTTTTGTTTTCCTTGTTATTTTTTGGATTTTTTTAAGACCATGTCAATGTCATGCGTAGTAAAGCGAGTCACGAGGAATAACTTTCACTTCAGAACATGATGACAAGGTTAGATGCGGCCCGCAACGACGATGAGGCGCTTGTGATGGATTCTTGGTTGAAACCATGAGCATCCATGCAGTTGCTGACCTGGTTGTATGGTCGGCATACCCGGTGTACCTTCTGCAAGTGTTGGACCCCCGAGACCATGTGGGTGACTAGAATTGGTGCTTCATCCAACCCTAAAATGATCAACTCAGTTGCCGGTTGCTGCACCCTGCCGTGCGTGTCCAAGGAGCGGCTGAGGAACCGGGACAACTACCTTGACAAATTGGAGTCTGCTTTCGAAGCCATGACCGGCCACAGTGAAGGACAGATCTCGGAAGAGAAGCTCGAAGCAGTGCTGCAGAACCCTAAAGCCCAGGCGAGCAGTAGAGTCAGCGGATGGGATTCGGGTGATTGGAGAACCTAGTGTGGATCCCTGTGCTGAAAGAGCCCTGTGCTGCACAAGGCATATTTTCAGACACTAGAGCTGGACATTGTGGAGAGCCATGCTTTGTTCAAAATGCTCGACCCTTGCTGCAGAAAGCCTTTTCTGATATTGACGCTGTTGAGATTCTTTAAATTTATTTATACAAAAGAAACACTTGCATGCCGCGTTCACATTTCTGATTTGAGGCCAGAGCTTGGACTTAGGCATGGGTCCAACAACCAAGAAGCTGTTTTCTTTGTAGAATCAATGTGGGTGAGACGGTGTGAATGGGCTCCGAACATCCCCGAAAGGTTTGCAAGTGATGTGCGGAGACGTTTCCCAAAAAGCAATGCCAGCAGCGGCAAAACGTAATGCTTCTTGAAGCGACGATCGAATGCAGCGGTACCGTCATTTGAAGCTCCCATGCCTTCACTAGGTCTGATTACAGGTGGGAGGAATTCTCACTCAATTGCATTCAGTCCGTCGGTTTGCGCACGCGGTCTTAGCGGTGCCTGGCATGAAAGTGTCATAACATAAGTTGTCTAGTTTACAAGAGCATTTGTATCAAACGGGTCCTGCTCCATGATTGATGAAGGGTTCTTTGTCTGGCCTGCTATCGCGAAGTGACCCCCACAACAAGCAAGAACACTTGCTTGAGGTGAAGCAGTCGTGGCCATGAACGAAACATACGAAAGAGAGAAAAGTCTAGCTCGAACATCTGCCTTGACTCACCTTGCTGCTGCTGATATAAGAGCGGCAGAGAGTGCTAACTACACATGGGATTCACACGCACGTAGCGTTTGCAGCGCACCCCCCACCGCAGGAGTCCGCAGGCCTAGAAACTTCTATGAAAAAGTCCAATCTCAGCCTTGCGTTGCTCTCACATGCAGCTGCAAGCATGCACGTGCAAAGGTGGCTGTCCACAGAGGGCGTGGGATAAACTTTGCCACGCAGACCTTCTTTGCTGAAGGGTCTCTTCAGCCGCTTCAGCGCTTCAACCCATGTTCTTTCCTGTGTTGAACATTTTGTGTGGTGCCGTGAATGTTTCCCAACTTGCTTTCAATGCCTGACAAAGTTGGGGTCCAGACCAGTATACACTTAGCAATGCAATGCCCGTTCAGCAAAAGATGTGTGCTCCCAATACCTTCTGGAATTGGGCCCTAGGCTCGCCTTAGCCAATTGGCTAAACTTAAACTCTCCGAGAGGGCGATAGAGGGAGGGAGGGAGGGAGAGAGAGAGAGAGAGAGAGAGAAAGAAAGAGAAAGAGAACACCCTGGCTCAAGATTTCGGCTCAAGCGTGAGCTGTGATTGACAACCTCGAGGGCACTGGTCCATTGCCCGTGATAGCGGAGCACACCGAGAATAAGCACCCTACCTCGAGGAGAAGGGCACATACCTGTTTGTTCTTGCAAGATGCATGGGGGCTCCTGGGATGGATTCAACAAGGTCCGACCGAGAAGGACCTATTATGTTTGCGATGGGTGCACCGGCTCATGGATCTGGGCAGATCGAGTCTCCAGCACCAGATGGTGTTGTGACCACTGTGGCCAGCAGTGGCCGAATGACAAGGTCAAGAGCAGTCCGACAAACAAGCACTCTCCTCGCCCTAGACGAGATCGCCCTCGAAGAGATCGCACGGTCCTGGTGGACAAGCCGCCGGGGTTGGGAGGTCGGCAGCAAGAGTCCGTGGCTGAGAGTGCGCTCAGGAAAGGTTGGGGCACCTTGACCAAAGAGGTGCAAGAAGCCCTGAAAGGAGTTGGCATTGATTACACTCCGGAGCCTGAGCTGCAGCCTCTTGAAGAAGTGCTGAAGGCTCATCTTGAAGCCCTTCCTTCTGAAGTCCGATCAGCTGTTGAAGGCCTACTTCATCCGGCGCCTGTAGCACAGGTGGATGTCACCGGCCAACTTAAGGCCACAGTGGGCGAATTGCGCCAGCTTTCGCAGAAGAAGCAGGCTTTGCAGCGGAAAGTGGACAATGCCAAAGAGCAATACAAAGTGCTTCTTGAAGAGCTCAAAGGTGTGCAAAATGCCATTGATAGGGAGCACAAGCAATTGGGCAGCCAGTCGGAAGCATATGCCAAGCAGCTGAAAGAAGAGGCCATTCCTAGCACTCCGGAGGACAAGGAGCATGTCATTGATCCTGACACTACTGAGCATGTCTTGAAGGCCATTGGTCAGGCGGGCATCATTTTCAATGCTGACCAGCAGAAAGAGCTGGAGCGTAACCTTGCAGAAACTTTGGCCAAGCGCCGCAAGACTGGTGACCTCCCACAGAGTGGGTAACAGTACTGATGATATGTGTGATGGCCTGCGAAAATGGGTTGCTGCAACAACAGTGATGGGGTCCTGTTGGTCAGGCAGCTTGTCAGATGGTGGTTTGAAACAATTTGGGGATGAGTCAAACGCCAGGGAATGTTTGACAGTATGGAGACACGCTGCAACTGTCCACTGTGCAAGGGGTTCAGCATTGCATGGTTGTGAACGTGATCTCTTTGCATGTGAACGTGATGAGCATGACAGCTTGGACTCGACCTGTTGGCTTGGCAGCATGCAGCCGTATGTTGGTAGTGACAGGTATTTTGACAGTCCATACGTTGAAAATTTTGGTGACAATGGTTTTGCCATTGACATGGGTGTTGATCCAGACATCTCCACTGCTTTAGAGCCAGGGCGAACCATGTCGGCAATGTCCCGTGGCAATGGCAGAGAAGATGAGGCTTCTGCAAAGGTGGAAGCTAAAATGCAGCTCGACATGGATGCAATAGGTCGGGAGCTGGGGGAGCACTGGGCACCGAGTGCTTCTTCTTCTGAGCGGCTGGGCGTGCCCAGACCTGCTGTAGGCGGGACCCAGATGCAACCACAGCACCTGACTGAACAATGTGCCCTCCTTGGTGGAGGCAAACGAGGTGCTGTTTTCACCTCTGCGGACATCATTCAAGCTGGCAACGTCCCGGAGCAGCCTTTGACTCCGGGGCATCTCCAAGACCGTATGGTGGTCTTGCAGCAAAGAGCCATGGAGGCAATCCACGCGCTGCCCGTGGACTGCCGAGATGATTATGGTTTTGGCAAAGTTGAGACAAGGGTTTGGGGCTTGGAGGCTCTCAAGCATGTGCTCAAAATGCGACTTGCTCTTCAGCATAGCCTGCCCTTGACGCAATTGGTTGCGCAGGAACCCACCATGCCCCCTGCCAATGAGTTGTTGGCGGCCAATTTGACTCTTACGTTGAGCAACCCAGGCAATCGTTGTTATGCCAACACTGTTTTGCGGATGTGGTGCTGGATGGGTGCGCACCATTCTAACCCCAAAGAGTTCTGGGGTCCCTCCACCAACTTGTGCCTCCAGCTCCTGCAGCAGGATGTCATTGAGGACATCTTTTGGGCGTCGGAACTGCAACCAGCCTTGGCCAGGCTGGAACAACCACAACAGCAGCATGATGCCAGTGAATTCCTTGTTCACTTATGGGAACTGTGGGGGCAAACAGGTTTGCAAGGCACCTGGTTCTCCTACTTTGGAGGGCGTGACCATGAGTTTGACACGATCCCCCTCTATGTCCGGATGCCTGCTGATGCTGGCGATGACATTAGCTTTGAACAGCTATTGAGTGAATGGGCCAATGAGGCCAATGGACAATGCTTAGCAAATGAGGTTGAACACATTGTTTTCCATGTAGGCCGCTATTCCCTGGATGCTGCTGCCAAGGAGTGGGTCAAGCATCACAACCGCTTGCACACACCTTCGAGCTTCAGGTGCCCTCAGCGGACTCTGACCGGACACACTGGCCATTCCACCTTTGTCCTTCGGGGCATAATTGCTCATCAGGGTGCTCAGTTGACTTCAGGGCACTATGTGGCCATGTTAGTGGAGGGTGATGCAGTATGGACGGTGGATGATGGAGAGTGCCCACAACCACGGAAGCAGGTCCCTGAGGAAATTCAGAGAGGAGCTGTGATGATCTGGGCCTCCCGTGCGGAGCACAGTCAGTTTTGGACGCACACAATTGGCAGCTTTGCACCGCCACCCAAGCGGCCCAGAGTTAGTTGTGATGGCATCGAAGTGTTCTATAGCAATGTCACTCAGTGGAACAGAGACGCCTGTGACTGGCTGCTTCAACAAGACATTCAGGTTGCCATGCTAGTTGAAACCCATGTGGCTGGCAAGCAGCTTGCCACTGTGTCTCAAGCCTTGGCGCGGAGTCGATGGCAGCTTGCCACTTTGGAGGCATATGAAACTGGGCGGGGAGGCACTAGTGGCGGTCACTTTTTCTGTAGTCGTGAGGGCCAAGCTGCCTATAAGATCCATCAATGTGATAAGGCTGGAAATGGGTATTTGGCAAATGTGCTGCAGCGACACAATTGGGAGGTTGTCCTGGTCTCGTTATATTTGAAGTGTGGCGAAGACCTCAACTCCCCTACAAATGCTGCAGTGCTGGGAGACTTGGCTGCCTTCCTACGTGAGCTGGCAATTCCATGGCTGGTGGTTGGTGATTTTCAGGTGCCACCCACTCAATGGCAAGGACACCAACTTCTCAACGTCTTGAAGGCGGAAGTTGTCTGCACGGGCCAACCTACCCTGATCAATGGAGCTGAACTTGACTACATAGTGGCAAGCCGCACTCTGACTCCCTTCCTTGATGTCAAGGTCAACTGGGATGTGCCTTGGAGGCCACATGCAGGTCTGGTGGTCACCATTGACAGTTCAGCTCCACGACTTCATTTGCCACAAGTGACACATTATGCGGCAGTGCCCAAATTGCAGCAGGCCACAAAGCAATGGGATGACATCACAGCTGCGCCCAAGCCCTATTGGTTGGGCAGAACTTTGGGACCTAAAGAACTGCAATGTGCTGAGTGGTGCCACCAGGCAGAGCAATATGTGTTGCAGAACCTACATGAACCACGATGTGGCCGCGGGTGGTATCTGGCCCTTGAACTCAAGCCGCTGCCACTGACCAGGCCCCTTACCCCTTGGAGGAAAGGGGATCTTGCCTACTGGGGCCAGTTCATGTCATTGCTGTCCCACATTGAACTCAAAGGACAGTTGAGTCACAACGTCATGCTCCACTTGAAGGCCAAGGCTGCTGATCTGGATATGAGGTGGCAAAATGTTCATGGCGATGTAGCCTTTCGAGCGGCCCTTGAAGCCTTGATCTCAGGAGAGTCGATGCCTTTGAGCCTGCTGATGAAAGGAGCTGAGGCCAATCGTGATTTTGCAAAGACGGCTGCCCTGCAACAGCAATCACAGGAATATCAAGCGTGGCTGTCACAAGCAACCTTGAAAGGCCACAGTGGCATCTACAAGTGCCTGAAAGCTCCTGATGTAGTGCATGTGCGGCCATTCCGCAATGTTCCGGTGCAGGACAGACAGAAGCTGCGAGAACAGCAATGGTATGCCAAGTGGCAGGTGGTCGACAAGCCGGTGACCTCTGGAGAAAGAGAGCGTTTACGATGGGAAGGTATTGTCCAGGCACGGCAGTGGGAAGATCTGGACCCCCACCAAGTGATGAAAAAGCTGAGCAATTTGCCACAAAAGGCTAGCGGGCCGGATGGCATCAGCTATGCCCTCCTGAGGAACTTGCCGCTTGAAGGTGTTGTTAGCCTCTGCAACATGTATCGGCAGTGGGAGTTAACGGGTCGGTTGCCTGATCAAGTTTGCACCACTTTGGTGGTATTGCTTCCCAAGAAAGAGGACATCGAGCGCCCCATCAGCCTGACCAGTGTTCTGTACCGCACGTGGTGCAAACTGAGATGGGACAAGCTCAAGCAATGGCAGAATGTTGTTGGCCAGCGCTTGCCTTGGGAGCGCAGCATGCCAGGCATGCAGGTCCTGTATGTTGCACTGATGCGCCTGCCAAAGTGCGAAGTTGGACGTGCCACAGGACGACATGTGGTGTCCTTGCTCTTGGACTTACAGTGCTTCTACGATTCAGTTGATTTGGAGCAGTTGCTTGGCCTTTGGGAGCCGCTAAATTTCCCACCTGCAATTCTCAATGCAGTGTATGAAGTGTACTCTGGACCGCGCTTGCTACAGGCGGAACAAATTACCTCCACACCTGTTCATTGCAGCAAAGGAATCCTGGCGGGCTGCCCGGTCGCCCCGCTTATTGCAAAGCTTGTTTTGGGCCCGGTCATTGATCAGTTCACTGCAGAGTTTCCCAGGGCTTCGGTGGATGTTTGGGTCGATGACATTTCTGTAGATTTCACTGGCATGGATGCTAATGTTGTCAGCAGGGAAGCCCTAGATGGGTATGAGCAGTTGAAAACTGGCTTGGAAGCCATTGGTCTGCAGCTCTCAGCCACCAAAACTGGTTTTCTGGCGTCAACGGTTGAATGCAAAAGGGCATTGAGCCTTTTCAGGCGTGATCACCAGCCTCAGGTCCATGAGCTCCTTAAGGATCTTGGTCTGGATTCTAGTGGAGGTCGCAGACGTCGGATTGGTGCCCAGCAAAAGCGCCTTCTTAAAGGCAGGGGGCGACAAACCAAGCTGCTCCACTTGAAGCTCCGCTCTCGACCAGTACGCATCCGCATCTGGAAAACATCAGTGCATGCAGCAGCTGGTTATGGACTTGAAGCTCAGGGCATTGCACCACAGCGCCTCCGCACTTTGCGGCAACAACTGGCTAGGCATGGCGGCTTGCAGAAAGGGGGCAGTGTGGACATTGTGTTTGACCAGCATCACAAGCTGCAGGACCCGAAGGATACCATTGTTGAACGTCAGTTGAAAGCCATGCACCAGCTGGTACAGGCCTGGCCAGTCAACCAACAAGGAGAGCTTCGGACAGCCTGGAGGGTCTCCTGGCGGAGATTACGTGCAGCAGCCTACCCCTGGATGGTTGTGGCTGGTCCCATGGCGGCCCTCCAAGCCTATTTGATGGACATGGGCTGGGATGCAGAAGACCTAGACGATTGGCTGCGTGCACCCACGGGCATCATGCCGCCTCAGCAGATGTGCATTGGGCACCCCTGGGAGCATCTTCAGAGGCAGTTGAAAGCAGAGCAAACCATGCAGAGGGCCAGACGCATCCAGGAGCTGGAACATTGTTTTCCCCTGATGAGGAGGCCGGACTGGACAATTTACCACCGAGTGATGCGCAAGCTCAAGGGTGTTGCTCGTACTGCGGTGGATGCATGGGACTCAAGGCTCCCTCCGTACTCGCACAGCGGGTGAGAGAGTGACATGCCCTTTGTGCCAAACTCCGGTGACCCTGAAGCACCTGGTGTGGGAATGCCAATATCATGAGCAAGAATTGCCGGCCTCATGGACGCAAGACATTCGAGCCAATGAGAACGCGATGCTGTGGTCTCGGGGCCTCATTGAAGCACCGGTTTGTCGGCTGGTGGTTGGCCTGGACTCGCTGGAAACCCATGGGATGTTTGCGCATGGTTGGCCTGTGCGTGTTACCCCGAGCCAGCGACTGGCCATTGGTGTGAAGGCTACCTGCACAGAGGTACGACTCCGACACTTTGTGGTATCCCTCATTGTCGGTGTCTGGCAGGATGGTTCGTGGCAGTTGACTGGCAAATGTACTTTGGTTGTGCCGGGCGAAGCAACTGAAGCCAGGGCCTGGTTCTATGGGTGCTGGCTCCTCCTCCAGGCCACTCTTGGTCGGCGCCAGGTCAATGTTGCACATCGGGCCGGATGGGCAGCAGTCACGAAGGGTGCAAAGGGCACCTGTGCCCCTGATCTGTGGCATAGTCTGCCTGCCGAGGAGTGGAAAAGGCTGAAGGTTGTCCATGTCCCAAAGAAGATGCTCAAGCAAGCTGGAGGTGACAACCGAGCCTGGCTGCAGTATCAGGAGGCAGCCCTCTGTGCTCAGCTTCGTGCTCAAAGCATTGCCCCTGATGACATGGTGCAACAATTGCACGCAGATGACCAATGGCACCAAGAGGTGTATGAAGTGGCAGCTCAGCGCATCAGTCACATCCTCACAGACAAGGAGCACTACATGCATGGCAAGCTAGAGCCGGTGCCCACACCCTTTCGGGTCAAGGTTGACCGACCCAAGGGGCGTTTGGAGATTCTACGTCAGCTGACGCAGCAGGCACCTCAAGAAGGGCACCACCATTGGGCCTTGCAGGGGCATGGCATTCGGTGCAAGCAATGTGGCCTGCACATCAAGGGCTGTTCAACTCATGATGAGATAGCCCGGAAGCAAGCCACTGTATGCACTGGGGTGGCAGTACGCACCCTCACCCAGCTCAAGCTGGAGCTTGTGGAGGCCACTGAGGCTTTGAATGAGAGCCAAGCGGGGCATAGGTGGTACAGCAGAACCAGCTCCTTTGGGTGCTCCCGGTGTTGGAGGAAGGTCTCTGGCCGCAGCAGCAAGGAAGCAGTGCTGAAGCTCAGTGAGTCGCCATGTGACTATGGACCGCTTGATCTGCCCACTATGGAGTTGAGGACAAAAGTCAACCCGGAGCACATCCTGTGGAAGAGGGGTGAGTGGCTTGAATGCCAGCGCTGTCATCGAGTCACGAAAGTCCTTCATGGCAGAGGCCAGAGCTGGCTGGCTGGTTCGTGTGACGGCAGATCGAGGCAAACTACGCTTCGTTTTGGGCCCAGCTCTGAGAGCTGATGACAGATGGTCCTTGGAGGGCCTGACTTTAGACTTCCAAGGCGAAGGATCCTTGAGTCTAGCCATTTTTGGCCTGAGGCCACGGCGGAGGTGGACCTCCTCGTGCACTTGGAGCAAAAGAGCCGAGCAAAAAAAAAAGAGAACACCGTTGAACACCGCGGTCTTCTCCACCAAGGCTAGTACAAAGAACCCACAGAGCCATGATTTCCGTCATCCGCTTCTCAACAATGATGATTGGATATGATTGGTAAGCAAAGACAGCTTGAAAGAAGAGAGTATACAAAATTATATAACTTCAAATCCTCCAAACACCAAATAAGTTGGGATGGATTATGAATAATGGTTTCTTGGGGACCCCCTTGAGAGCTTGAAAACAACAAGGTTGGAGATAGGCTTTACAAAGAACTTAAGAGAAGATTTATGGAGGTGGTTTTGGAGATCTGGGTGATTTTGAGGGATCCATGAATGGACAAAGGCATGAGCAAGAGGTCGTTTGGGATTAATGCAATTTGGGTGTGGGACGGGGGTTTCACTGGCAAGACCATGAGCCAACACTTGCCAATGGGACCTGCTGCAATAGGACTAAGACGAGGGGTTGGTGAATCAAGGGGGATGAAGACAGGGCAGGGACCCCAAAGACTAAATCTCTTCATGGAAGAAAGGCGGTTAGCATTGCAGCAAAATGTGCGGACACATTTTGCAAAATTGTCTCTTAACCCTGTGTTACATAGCTGAGCAAGAAACTGGTGGGCACAACCTGAAACATCTGGGGCAGATTGAGGCTGCACCAAAAGAGTTGGATAGATTTGGGCAAATGCATAGCTTCACTGTATGTGTAAACGCTATGAAAAGACCAAGCTTTGTTGGAAAGTCTTGTCTGGCCAAGGACAATGGTGATGGTGTCATCACCCACGGAGAATTTGTGGATGGAATGTTACGATGCAAGGGCCCCGCACGGGCTATGGAGCAGGCCAGTCTCTGTTTTTAAGTTTGGCTTATGTGTAGCGCGTCCGTAATGATGTCTAGATTGCCTCCACCTTTCCTTTCATTTTCCACCTTCGAGGTGGCAATGCGCGCAGAATTGCGGCAAATGGATCACAAGCTCTCGAACCTCATAAATTCGTTACAGGAGCATGTGGGCCAGCTGGTTTTCTTGATTCAATGACGTCACGTATCCTTGAGCTCGTTTGGCCCAAGTCTCAAGGGGTAGATGACGGTAGATGAGTGAATTCAAGCCTGGTGCGGGAGGCCTTCATTCCAGATGCTTTTGCTATTTGTTGCTCTGCAGTGCTGAAGCCAGTGCCAGTTTATGCCATGGCCCATGGGGCACGCAAGAATGCGAGAATTACACTTATGCAGGCTCCCTGGTTGAAGACTTGAATCCTCCAGCTGCGCTTGATGAAGTGGTGAGGTTGCGCAATGAACTTGGCGCTGTGCTGTATCCAGATCACGTGGCAGATCTTTGCGGGGCACAAATCACACAGTGGATGCAGCAGGTCCAAAGTTACTTCGAAACGGACACCTACCATGTTCCACTCATCCAACTACTCCCCATGCAAAACCATATAATGGCAAACCATGAAGATGTGGCGCAGCGGTGCCCGGTTGCTTGGCTCATGACACTTCTATTGAAGATGGAATCTAACCTTCAACATTCACAGCGGGGCATGACCTGTGCACGCGTGCATGCACGAGGTTGCCTTCGGGATGCGCGGGGATATTGGAAGCTTTACGCATCAACCAGGCTGCAATATGCTTCCGTTCCACCCACTGCGGAAGCCCATGCTGATACACTTTTCAAGGGAGAACTGCGCATTGTGAGCAGTTTCCGGCAGACATTGGGCAAGCCTCCGCAGCCGTGACGTTTATTGACCCTTGTGTACTGGCTCATGAGACTTGAGCGTCCATGAGGAGGTGGCAAGCTTGAACTGCTATACAACTGTATATGCAGCAGAGTTATGAAGTGTTGCGCGTTTGGCCACCGAACTCCTAAGCGAGAAGGCGATGAGCAGCCAAAGACGCTGCCTGATTTTTCCATATCATATTCATAACCGTTGAAACTTTGCTAGAAGAGACCCGCTCCAAGTACATTGGATGCTCGGGATTTGTGAGGCTGGTGGCTGAAAACGGCAGGGGGCCCCGAGGACCCCCAAGCCAAACCAGAATCAGTTGCTTTAGCACAGCCGAGTTGCCGTTCCAGTACTGACCACCGAAAAGGAGACATTCGCTCAATTCGCTCAATACTATACATGGTCCCTAGGTGCGCTTTTGTCATTCGAGACGTCTGGGCTCTTGGGTGATCCCATTGGTCTGCAACTTCTGCATTGTTGCAGTCTCCTTTTCTTCTGCCGTACTATTGCTTCTGGGCTCCACGGATGGGACATGTGGTGTCCACGAATTAGCTCTCCAGGCTACCGACCTCGATCGAACACTCTGACAATTGTATTCAGTTAACTCAGTTACCACGATGGGAAGGATGGCGGTGGAACAGCAAGGCGAGAAGTCCAGGAAATTGTAGGTGTTTGAACAAAGGTTGTTTCCCTTGACTGCGGAAAGCGCACAGCGGCAAAGCGGCTGAAAATCGGCGGCTGAAAACCTGTTTGTGGGGAAGGCATCATGAAAGAACCATGAATCAAACCGTGGAAAAGTAGGGTGACAGCTTGTGGAAAACTTCGCAGGTACATGGTTGAGCGTCCTCAACCACTTCCCTTCCAGCGACCCAGCTTCGTTGGATCAGGTTAGTCGCTGGAAGCCTGATCCCCCTGCTGGTGAAACAATTGGCAGTGGAAGTCAAGAAAGGAAACCCTTTGACCAGGGGGCGACACACACAGGTCGCCGTCGTCGGCGCTTTTTTCAAAAACCGGTGGCAGGCTTGGTGGTTGTGTCCTTTTTGGACATAGAGCCTCACTAGCTCGGCGGCAGCAACTTCAGCGCTGGAGGGTGGAAAGGTGTATTTGTGGATAGTGTGGAGTCTGGATTGAAGGCCTGACAGAGCCAAGCGCCGGCTCCCGGCTGTGGTGGCATCCCTGATTTTCCAGGGTTGGGAAGGTTGTATGTAGGTGATGGTGCGTTGCTGGAGGTCAATGTTGAACCCCAGGAGGTGAAAGTCATCGACAGGTTCCAGTTCCACTGGGTCCCCGAAGAAATTGTGGTGGACAAGGGTTTGAATGGCTGGGTGGTGGAGGAAGTGTTCATTGTGGACAATGAAGCGGTTGTCAACGTAACGGTAGTAAGCAAAGTGCAGGTCTGTGTGTTGCAATAGGTTGTTGTGGATCTGGTGCCAGGAGTGTTCAATGAGGGTGATGGCGACATTGCAGAGGGCTGGAGAGAGTTGGGAGCCAATCCCAGCTCCTCGTATTTGTTTGTAAGTGTTATTGCAAGCCCGGAAAATGCAGGTGTTGAGTGCATAAGCGACGATAGTGGTGATGTCGGAGGTCTGGATGGTGCGTTGTGTAGGGTGTTTTTGGTGGTGTCTGCCAATGTGGGAGTGGTGGAAGGGATTGCCGGTGGCTTGAACATCCACAGTGAGAGTGTGTGTGGATTGTTGTTGTTGCCAGTGCTGTATCATGGAGTGGACTGCATCGATCAGTCGATGTTGGGGGACCGAGTTGAAGAAGCCCACCAGGTCGTCGTTGGTAGCGTGGAGGGAGATGTCTGCTGGTGTTTGAGTGAGGTAGCTGTGGAAGTGGTGCCATAGTTGTGGAATGGAGAGCTGCCCTGGATGTTGTGGGTAAAGGTGTTGAAGTATAATGTCGAGGGCTCGGCTGGTGATACGTAGGAGGTTGCCTGTGAGTGAACGGAAGTAGGAAATAATGGTGCGGCCCTTTTGCCAGTGCTTTTTCTCCTTGAGGTGAACCACTCCGTAGGGAATGTTGAAATCCTTGCGGAATCCCCACTTGTAGCGTGTGCGGAGGATGGGTGGGACCGTGGCTTTGAGGTGGTCGTGGATGTTGGCGGCTGTGAGATATGGAAGTGGTTCAAAAAGTTCTGGGGATTGCCATGTGTTCAGAGCTCCGGTGAAATATTGACGAGGGCAGAACAGTCGGAGTTGTTGTAGTTCATGGTCAGCATGGTGAAGTACTGTATGTGGGCCGAGAAGTTCCTGGAGTTTGTCGGAGGCGAGCAGTAAAACGGGGTTGGTGTTGGAGATGAGCGTTGTGGAGGCGCCATTGGTGTGTGAGGAACGGTTCCAAGTGCTGGACGAGAGATGGTGGTAGCCCTTGAATTTTGAGCCACTTCGTGTAAGCTTGCTGGAAAGTGAGGAAGTAGCGGGCCTTGCTGGGGTAATAAGTGCTGTTCATGTTGGCGTTGAGGAAAATGGTGAGATGTGGTGGAAGTTGCAGTTGGTCCAAGGTGAGGATGTAGTGACCATTGGTGGTAGGGGTGTCAGGGTCGTGGAGGAGAGTGCGAAGGTGGTCGCACGCACAAGGGAGATCTGCTGGATCTGGTGGTGAGTGAAGCGTGTCTTCCCAGGTCCTGTGATTGTGGAGCTGAGATCGCAGAGTCTTGTGTGCTGCTTCACGGATGCGATGGGAGGGAAGGTGGAGGGGGATGGCTAAATGTTTGTGCTGTTGGATGGTGGTACGGAGCCATTGTTGACAGTGTTTGGTAAAGTCTTCGTGCGCCAGGAAGGGCACTGTGAGCGGAATGTTGGGTTTGGGTGGTGTGAGATTGCGATAGAGAAGGGCTTTGTTGATGATGTGGAGGGCTCTGCTGCGGCCTGGTTCTTCAAGGTTGGCAGCCATACGCCGGATGGCATAGACTTCTAAGTCCGTGTGTCGGCCACTTCGCAATTGTTTGGCTGCTTCGAAGGAGGCTGCAGTGTGTTTGGTGAGGTCACGAAGAAGTGTGAGCGCGTGATGTTTGGTGGAAGTGTAAAGATGGGGTTCGCGGAGGGTGTGTTGGCGTCGCCTCAGTCGTCGGAAGAGGCGTTTGCGGGTGGCTAGTCTGGAGTAGAAATGCGCGCGACGTTTGGTGAATTGCCATCCCTGGGCCTTGAGCTTAAGGTGTTGGGAGATGAACGGCCAGTTGAGTGTGGGCATCCAATTGGCGATGTGGTGGTGTTCCTGGATCCAGGCTTGATCGTAGGTGTCGTGGGACGTGAGCTGGATGGTTGTGTAGTGGTGAATGTTGTTGTGGGAGTGCCAGTAGCGTAAAGATAGTTCGGCTGAAATAGGAATGTTGTTCTGGAGTTGTTTGAGCTTGGCGCGGCGGTTGTGCTCCCTATGAGGGATGCCAATGGCTGTTGAGCCGACGTAGAAATGGCCATGCTGGTGGTAACAACGCTGGGGGGGAATGGGGTTGAAGTGGAGTTTGATGTAGACGGAATTCTGGGAAAGAACGTTGTGGTAGTGGTAGGTAGGTATTGGGAAGGACGTGGAGCTGCCGGAAACGGTTTCTCCATTGTTGGGATCGATGTGTTGTGGATGGGTAGGCAAAGAGCAGAGTGATGTGAATGAGGCCTGTTGCAAAAATGGCTTCTGCCCGTTCGATGTATTGTGTGTGGTGGATCAAAATGGATAGAGCGCAGTGGAGGCGGAAGAGTTGTTGCATAGTGTTGTGGCTGGGTTGCTTTTGGCTGAGCATAGCGAGTCAGCAACCAATTGCTGCTCCCACACTTACCAAGTGTTGCAAACTGCGAATAGGGAGACGATTGATGCGGCCGAGTGGGAGGCCGTAGCGGGTAGCTGCATCTTTCAATTGCTGGGTAGTGACTTTACTTGTTTGTAGCAAACGGAGGACTTCATTGGCGGCCTCCTGGACAGTGGGTTCGAACGTGGTGACCCACTGCTGGATATCAGCATTGGTCCAGCTGTCGGGGGCGTCGTCCTTCAGTGTTGGGTGTGGAGGTTGCAGGACATCTGCCAGCACTGGTGGCTTGGAGGTAGGTGGAGTTGGTGGATGGGATGGTTCGCCAGAGCCGGTGGCGTGGCTAGCGCTCTTGACAGGAGTGAGAGAATTGCCCAAAATGTGAAGCTTCTGTTTTGCGCGGGCAAGTTCGTCGGTGGTGACCCGGTGGTGTTCTTGAGGGCGCGTAGGGCGGTGCCTTCTGCAGGGGCTGGTGAGTGGGATTGGAGTTGTTGGATGAGGAGGTTGATCAACGGGGCGTGGAAAGCCCGTGCTTGAGTGGTTTTGCTGGGGGACTTCGGTTGGAGGGTTTCGGCAATGCCGTCCAGGTCTAGGCGTTTCTCCCTGATCTCCTGGAGGAGGTGTGTGACGAAAACAGATTCCGCCACACTCGTGGTGGCGATGAATCCTGTGTATTTCCCGTGGCTGAGGGTACGGGCTGTCAACTCTGAGGTGCTGTGGTAAGCAAGTTGCCAAGGAAAAATGTCAAAAGTTGGAAGGCCGGCAATTCCGGCTTTGCGCGACCATTGGGTGGGTTGGATTGTTTTGTAGAGCTGGTGGCCGTGAAGTGTGTTGGCGTCCCAATGTTGATCAGTTTGATGCCAGGAGTCTTGAAGTGGTGGCTTGGGTGAAGGAACGTGGGGTGGTGGCGGGGGTGCAGAGCCTGAGGCAGCAGGTGCTCCTGGCGCTGTGTTTGAAAGACGAAATTGGTGGAGTAACTGGAGCGGCAGTAGGTAGTGGTGGAGGTGGTGGGGGTGGGAAATCTGGTTTGGATGGTGGGGTCACCTGTGGTGGTGTGTGTTGCGGTGGTGGAGTATATGGGTGGGTGTGGTGAGTCTGGTGCGTGCGAAGAGCGTGAGTGAGCGGACCGTAGGTGCCCGTGGGGTTATACGGGTGATGGCTGACAGGATAGTGGGTAGTGCCGGTATCAGCGGTGGCGAGCTGCTGTTGTTGCTGCTGCTGGAGCAAATAGTGGTTCCAGTAGTATTGCTGCCATTGTGCGTCCATGATGGAATGCTGGCTGGAACACGAGTGAGGGCGGTCACGAGTAGTTGCTCGAGCAAGCTGAAAAAATGTAAAGAAAAGTACACCCATGCAACCTGAAAGTGCACAGTGGTGGAACAGGCAAAAGACTGGTAACTGTGAAAGTGAAATGCCGAGTTGCACACTAATTCCAGCACTAAGAGCATAACGTGAAAAAAGAAAAGTCAAAGTAAAAGTGCGGCAGCGGGAGAACACCTAGCATTTTTCGTGGTGCGTAGTGAAACTGATGTAGGCCTCGAGGTGGATGCTACAGTCTGAGGATTGATGTCACAGTGTAGGTAGTTCGTGGAAAGTAGAAGGGTGGGTTAAAATCAAACTTGGATCCTCAAAGCAGAAGGCTCTTGTGGCTGGCTGAAAGATGCGCCGCGGTCAGTGGTTGTCGGCGTGCCAGGGGTCATGCTCCGGTTCATAGTTTTGAAGATGGAGCGGCAGCGGGCGCCCCTGCGCGTCGTAGTACCCAGGTGGCAGGGGGTACAGGACTGTGGCAGCCGGTGCGGAGGTTGGAGGTGGCGTGGTG